AAGGGAAAGCTGAATCCCCCACAAGGATCTCTCTCCACAGCGTGGCACAGGACTGCATGAGCCCTAACCTGTCCCTGGTATATATACTCCATTAGCTCCAGTTATTAACCACGCACACCAACGTCTATTGGCTCGTCCCCCACGAGGGAGGGGTGAACCAGGGTAAGGGGATTTTCAGTGTATTCCTGAGTCCAAAAAAGATTAAAGCTGTTAATATGCATGATCTCATTCGCCCCCTGGCTATTCTCTCTTGATCCTCTCAGCACCAGGTTTTTTTTTTTTTTAATATATATACCCCATTAGCTCCACTTATTAACCACGCCCACCAACGTCTATTGGCTCGTCCCCCACGAGGGAGGGGTGAACCAGGGTAAGGAGATTTTCAGCACATTCCTGAGGCCCAAAAGGATCAAACTGTTAATATGCATGATCTCATTCGCCCCCTGGCTATTCTCTCTTGATCCTCTCAGCACCAGGTATTTACCTACTTACATACTCACATTGCTTTTTTTACAACTATCCTGACTTATGCCACATCTTTTTTTTTTTTCATGACTAATGCAACAGTCTCTTACCTCATTCTTTTTAAAAAAAAAAAATCTTTTATTGATTTTTTAAAGAGAGGAAGAGAGAGGGATAGAGAAACATTGATGAGAGAGCAACATCGATCAGCTGCCTCCTCCAATGTGCCCCCAACCACGGTACATGCCCTTGACCAGAATTGAACCTGAGACCCTTCAGTCTGCAGGCAGATGCTCTGTCCACTGAGCCAAACCGGCAAGGGTCGTACTCACTTTTTTTTTTTAATCTTTATTGTTGAACCCTATCCAGTTTGGCTCAGTGGGTAGAGCATTGGCTTACAGACCTAAGGGTTGGTCAGACTCCATTTGGCAAGGGCGCCTACCTTGGTTCAAGGGTCTCCCCTGCCTTGGCCCTGGTTGTGGCATGTGCAGGAGGCAACCAATCAATGTGTTTCTCTCACATTCACGTTTCTTTCTCTCTTTCCCTCTCTCCTCCACTCTCTCTAAAAACCAATGAGAAAATATCCTCAGCTGAGGAGTAAAGGAAAAAGTAATAAAGAGTGCTGATGTTGCTAAGGGTGTGAAAGTGCTCACAAAACACTAATCAGGGGCAATTGAAAAGGTACACAAACTGGTTGTTAGTTAGATAAACAAAAGCCAGTGATAGCATTTCCAAGACAGCTTCATATAAAAAATCTTTCAGGATAGTAGGGGTGATTGGATCAATTTAAGAAGTGTTTATTTATAAATTAAACAGTACATGAGACCTGTACTGTGTTTATAAGAAACGTTAGAACAGAGAATCATTTGAGGGTCTGCTGGTATTAATTCAATTTACATTATTTCTAATGGGAGAAGTAGGATTCAGTTTTTGAACAAATCGCTTTTCCAACAGGCTACCAGGATGAATTAAGTTAGAGAACCCAGGCTCCACTATATCAAAATTTACTTGCTTTTCATTTCCACTTCTCAAATGCAGGGTATATCCAACTGTGTACCTAAGTCGGTGGGATTCAGAGCAGATTAGATTTACTCTGAACTCCAAGCCACCTAGGAAAACTGATTTTTCACATGCATAGAATGCAATTCAAGGTCAGGAATTCAATGTGAGAAAAAGCTGGGCAGCAGATACACACACATTAGCCTTTGATGTTGGTGAGCTACAACTAGTCAAGATAATTGAGCTTTCCCCTACAGTCAGCACTGATCTAAATAGAGACCAAGAAGAGGCTGAAGTGACCTGCATGTTTGGTCTCCTCGGTTGCCACATTGTCGAGGAACAGTAAAAGCAGTATCATGAATTATTTTCAACTCATGTTGCAAATTCACACACATTTGGTAGACCTCAATTCCCCATTACTGTAACCTCCCTGTGATCCTTGCCATGGCTTTATCTCCAATCATCACCTCAGTCCCTGTTTAAAGCTGTTGAATAACTAAAATACTGGCCAGGTCTCTGGGTCTCCTTTAGTGACTGAGAGACTTTGGGCCACCTGCTTATACTGTGGGTGGCTCTCTCCAGGCCCATTAAGGAAGATCAAATCAATACTGGTTCTGAGTATCTGGGATTCAGGCCCATGGCTCTAACCTCTCCCCTGCCCTCCTATACACAAACACTCTCACCTATCTCCACCGGTACACAAACCCGGCCTCCCTGAGACATAATGGAAGGTAGTCCACATGCAGCTCCAGGCCAGCAACATGAGGCTTTTGTCACCTGCTTAGTTCAGGTTGGGATCCTGGTTTCTGAAATTTTAGCAATCATTCTATGACTTAGTACAAAACTCCCCAAGGGACCCAAACCATAATAAAAGCATTCGTCCTAAAATAACTTTAATATGAAATAGGATTTTCTTTCGAAGTGAGGACCGGGCCCATAGAGAGCAGCTGCACCCAAAGCGGGGTGTTTACCACCCACGGCTCTGGGCAACTCTGTGCAGCGGGTGTTTGAGGACCTTCGCCATGGCTTTACCCCATACAAACGTTCCCATTCCTGACTCCTCGGGGATCAGATCTAGATATCTAAAATGTTAAAGGGCATTTAGGTGACTGAAGGTTCTGACGGGGACCAGGAAAACATAATTAATTTCATGTGTTTTTAAATAAGCCAATCCTGTGTTTGGATTCTCTTTGGAGGTACATGTCTCTCAGCAGGGCACAGAGCAGGCACTCAGAAACCCAGTGGTCTTACTTCACTCCAGCCTCCCACACTCACTTGGTCCCATATCACGACTTACCAGGAGCAGACAGCTGCGGTCAGGTCTGTAATGCCAAAAGGAAAAGGCGAATCTCCCACAAGGATCTTTCTACACAGTCTTACTCAGGACTGCATGAGCCATGACCTGACCCTGGTGTATATACACCATGAGGCAGACCTAGCTATTAACACAAAGCCTGCCAAAGTCCAGTGGCTCGTCCCCCACTAGGGAGGGGTTAGCTAGAATCATATTTTCAATGCTTTCATCAGTCCAGAAAGGATGATCTCTGTTAATATGCAGGATCTAATTTGCACCCTGGCTATTCTCTCTTGATCCTCTCAGCACCATTGTGTTATTTATTTATTTATTTACTTACTTACTTACTTACTTACTATTGAGCCCTAACTGGTTTGACTCAGTGGATAGAGCCCGGGCCTGTAAACCAAAGGTTCTAGGGTTTGATTCAGATCAAGGGCATGTACCTTAGTTCCAGACTCCTCCTAGGCCAGGGCCCTGGTCAGGGCTTGTGCAGGAGGCAACCAATTGATGTGTTTCTCTCACATCCATGTTTCTGTCTTTCCCTCTCTCTCCCACTCTCCCTAAAAATCAATGGAAAAATATCCTCATGTGAAAATTAACAAAAAAAGGAAAAATAAATATTAAAATAAAAATATCTGAATAATGGTTGGAAGCTCTATCTGGTTTTGCTTAGTGGAAAGAGCATCAGCTTGTGGACTGAAGGGTCTGGGTTCCATTCTGATCTAGGGCACATGCCGGGGTTGTGGGCTGATGATCAATAATTTTCTCTCATTATTGAATTTTCTATCTCCTCCTCTCTCTTCCTCTCTGAAATCAATAAAAACATATTTTAAAAAACGTTGGAAGCAATCAATTCCTTACTCTCAACACATGCAAAAATATTAGAAACCCACTGAGAGTCCCGCCATTCTATCTTCTTTCCCACCTGGAATATGTAATGTACTTATGCATAAAGCCACATCCTGAAACGTAGACAAAATTTGTAATACATGTAAATATACAAAAACTTTATTGAAGCTGTGACTTACAATCAATACATTCTAGTCCTAAAATTTCAGAAACACTTTAGAAAGAATTGATCAATCAATATTCCAAATATTTCACACTTCCATTTGTTCCCACACACCTTGCTCTTGAAGAAAAATGGGTGGAAAAAGATGGAGAGAGAGAGAGAGCGAGAGAGAGAGAGAGACATATCCCAAGTGTTCAGGTCACAGAAGTGCTTTTTACAAAATTTTGGTGCTAGCCCAGCACAGTGAAGCTCAGTTAGTTGGAGCATCGTTCCATGTAACAAAGGGTGGGCAGGTTTGATCTGGGTCAGGGCACATACCCAGATTGAGGTTCAATCCCCAGTTTGGGTGCAATCTGGAGGCAACCAATCAATGATCCCCTCTCACATTGATGTTTCTCTCTCTATATTCCTCTCTAAAAATCAACAAAAAAATTTTTGGTTCCAAAACACTGATAGTCATACAAAATTCTACCTACACAAAGAAAGACCTATGTACTACTTTCAACAATATAGATTAAAATATATCTATACTAATAAAAGGGTAATACGCTAATTAGACCAGGTTGACTGGACATCTTCCAGTCATCCAGGCCTCCTTCCAGACAAAATGACGGTGGTGGGGGCCAAGGCAGAGGCGGTTAGGGGCCATCAGACCAGCAGGGGAGTGCAGTTAGGGCCAATAAGTCTGGCAGGGGAGGGCAGTTAGGGGCAATCAGGCAGGCAGGCAGAGGGGTTAGGGGTGATCAGGCAGGCAGGCAGGTGAGCGGTTAGAAGCCATCGGTCCTGGATTGCGAGAGGAATGTCCGATGGACCTGGATTAGAGAAGGTGCAGGCTGGGCTGAGGGACCCCCTCCCTGCACACGAATTTTGTGAACTGGGCCTCTAGTATATATATAAAATAAAAATAAGGTCCAGCTGGTTTCGCTCAGTGGATAGAGCTTTGGCCTGTGGACTGAAGGGTCCCAGGTTCAATTCGGTCAAGGGCACATGCCTCGGTTGGGGGCTGGATCCACAGTAGGGGGCATGTAGGAGGCAGCCAATGAATGATTCTCTCTCATCACTGATGTTTCTATCTCTTTCTCCCTCTCCCTCTCCCTCTCCCTTCCTCTCTGAAATCAATAAACATACATTCAAAAATAAAACTAAAATAAAATTATGACTAAAAAAAAATTCTACCTACTGTCTGTAAATCACAGGAAGAAAATGAAACTAAATGACAGTTCATCCTTCCTAATCTTTTAATGCAAAGACAGTAAGAGGTTTTGGATCACATCCGACATAGAAGTAAGGCTTTAGCACCTCAGAAAAAGTATCCCTGAAGGAATGGATGTGAGACATGTCATTCAAACTGTAAAAGGAAACCTGACCCAACTCATAGTCCAGGTAGATGCCAATCCCTCTGGGCATTTCCTTCAGCACAAGGGTGACAGGAACAGGCCCTTGTGCCACATAGTCACCATCCTTCAGCTGAATTGTCCAACATCTGTTCTCCTGTCTGAGCAGGGGCTGCTTTTCCTCCTTGGAAAGGGTGTCTTTACAGACCCCCACGGCCCACTCAGGCTTGTCATCAACCTGGACCTCCCAGTAATGTCGGCCACAGTCAAACCCTTCAGTACCCAGGACAACTGGGTCGACTGCAAATCCCTTCGGATTTTTATGAACTCTTTGCTTTTTCCTCACAAATGACACAGACTTTTTATCCTCAGACACAACCAGATTAGGATGTGCAGTTTCGGGATCCAGGGTAACTTCTTCTCTAAATCTCTGTATAATTTTCTGCAGGGCCGAACACTGTGGAGGAAGACTGAATTCTTCTCTACTAAACTGGAAGCAATAGACACCTGGAGGTTCTAGATTTTCACAATGGCGGAAGACACCCTTGATATTCATCAGCAATTTCACATCTGACATCACACTCTTCTCTGCCATCTCCTTTAGTTGAACTTTAAGTTTGGAAATGTGGTCTGAAAATGCAGTTTTGTTTGCAATGAGATTCCGTTGAATGTGCTTCTCTTCTGCAGCTACCCTTGAGAGAACTGCCTCTTGCTCATGTTCTACAGATTGTATCAGATTCTCAAATTCAGAGGCTAACTTCGCTCTCCGGTTTTCCACCTTTTCTCTCAGTTCTGATAGCTTCCTGTCTTGGGTGGCTACTAATTTCTGAATGTCTGCCACCTGCTTCTTCAGGGGCTCAATGTAACTGCTGAGCCTTTGCCTGTGATGAGAGGCAGCCTCCTCCACGGGCCTCACCTGGTGGCCCTGGTGGTCAGGGGGCTGAGTGCACAGGGGACACAACAGCTCTCGGTCCTCCTCACAGAAGAGGGTCAGAGACTTGTTGTGCTTCTTGCAGAAGCGCCTCCCTTCCTGCTGCTTCATCTTGCCCCTGGTGATCTGGAGGAGCTTGGTGATGTCAACCATCCTTCCCAGCTGGGTGTTGCTCCTCATGTGCCTGTCTTTGCATGGGTGACGACACACAGGACAAGGGAACCTGTCCTGCACATCAGCCCAGGACTGCTGGATGCAGGAGCGACAGAAGTTGTGCCCACATTCAATGGTGATAGGGTCTCGAAGGTCATCCAGGCAGATGGGACAGTTGATTTCTGTCTGGAGTACTGCCAGAGCTGCTTCAATTGCCATTGGGCCCTGAATGAAGGACGGACTGAGGTGGGTGGGTTTCTTCAGGAGGTTGAGCTCTGTGAAACCTCTCCACTGAGAAGCAGATGCACCTTCAGATCTCACTGGCCTTCCTGTGTAAATTCTCTTTATCGATTAAGGTCAGCCCTTGGTGTCCTGTGAGGTCCTTAGCTATAGAGGTAGTGTCCAGAGGAGCTCCACTGCCCACATGCAGCCAATCTAAGTCGTTGGAGGACTACTTCCTTGACAGCAAAGAGGATATGAATCCACGTTCAGCAATTCTCTTGGTCAGAGAGCAATTATGACTCTTAAGTACCTATTAGTTCCTGTGGATGAGAAAATATGGTTTCATGTAAAAAATAAATAAAAAGATTACTATTTGTCTTATGGCCCTGCCCTGTTAACTATCATCTTTGAGGGAACCATTGATTTCTTTTCCCCAGCCCTACAGGTCACCTACATCCACATTAATCACTGTGGGTCTGCATGTAACTGCAAAAGTGTGAGAATGTTTCCTGCTAGATTCTCTGTCCCTGGGCTAAGTTTCAGCTTTAGTCCCCTATTATCTAGGGCAGCGGTTCTCAACCTGTGGGTCGCGACCCCTTTGGGGGTCGAACGACCCTTTCACAGGGGTTGCCTAAATACATCCTGCATATCAAATATTTACATTACAATTCATAACAGCAGCAAAATTACAGTTATGAAGTAGCAACGAAAATAATTTTATGGTTGGGGGTCCCCACAACATGAGGAACTGTATTAAAGGGTCACGGTATTAGAAAGGTTGAGAACCACTGATCTAGGGGATTAGGGAAAGTGCTTAACATCCTTAACATTAAGAGAGTCAGGTTAAGCCCTAAACTGTTTGGCTCAGTGGATAGAGCATTGGCCTGGGGACTGAAAGGTCCCAGGTTTGATTCCGGTCAAGGGCATGTACCTTGGTTTCGGGCACATCCTCAGTAGGAGGTGTGCAGGAGGCAGCTGATCGATGTTTCTCTCTCATTGATGTTTCTAACTCTTTATCCCTCTCCCTTCCTCTCTGTAAAAAATCAATAAAATATATTTTTTTTTTAAAAAGAGAGAGAGAGTCAGGTTAAGAAATGTAAAAATCCCAACTCGAATCACTTCCAATTTTTGAAAAACCTCAGCAATGGATTTGGCACTTTCTGTCTTAAAATACAGTTATTTCTACCCTGGCCAGTTTGTGCCACTGATTACAGTGTTGACCCATGTACCCAAGAGTCTTGGGTTTTCTGGTCAAGAGCATGTACCTAGTGCAGGTTTGATCCTCAGCTCCGATGGGGGCGAGCTCAGGAGGCAGCCAATAGACTTGTCCCTCACAGCAATGTTTTTCTCTTTCTCCTCCACCCCACTCCTTCACTGCCTTACACTCTCTAAAAACATCAATGGAGAAAGATTCTCAGGTAAGGATTAACAAACAAACAAAACACAACAGTTATTTCTGACAACACTGAATTCATGATACAGTCAAACCTCATCTCCCATCTCAAACAATTCAGTTCTCTTGACCAAACTGTTCACAGAAAATGTCTCAGTTGTCGACCAAAACTTCAGTTTTCCACCTGACAGCTCTTTCATGTTGTTACCTCAGAATGACAAAAAGTGTCTTGGACAAAAAACAAAGGAAAGCATGCTTTTGCTACTGACTAAATAAATGATTAGCACAAATATAAAATATAAAGTGACCATCAACAGTGCTAATGTTGCCCTAGCCAGTTTGGCTCAGTGGAAAGAGTGTAGGCCTGTGGACCTAAGGCTCCTGTTTTCGATTCATGTCAAGGGCACGAACCTCCTTTGCACGCTCTTCCCTAGCCTGAGCCTTGGTCAGGGTGTGTGTAGGAGGCAACCAATCCATGTGTTTCTCTCACATTGATGTTTCTCTCTGTCTTTTCCTCACTCTTCTACTCTCTCTAAAAATCAATGGGAAAATATCCTATGGTGAGGATTAAAATAAAAAGAGAGAGTGCTAATGTTGCTAAGGGTGTAAAAGTGCTCACAAAACAATAATCACAGGCAATTGAAAAGGTAGAGCCTGGCTGGCGTGGCTCAGTAGTTGAGCGTTGACCTATGAACCCAGGAGGTCACAGTTCAATTCCCAGTCAGGGCATATGCCTGGGTTGCAGGCTCCATCCTCAGGGGCATGAGGAGGCAGTGGATCAATGATTCTCTCTCATCACTGATGTTTCTTTCTCTCCCTTCATTTCTGAAATCAATAAAAAAAAATATATATTAAAAAAGGTAGAAAGACTCTTGTTGATTGGATAAAGGAAAACTGGTTAACCACTGATAGCATTTCCGAGGCAGTTTTATATAAAAAAAATTCGTTTAAGGCAAGTATTGGGAGATTGGATCAATTTAAGCAGTGTTTATTTATAGATTAAAGAGTACATGAGGCATGTACTGTGTATATAAGAAAGGTTAGAACAGAGAATCATTTTGGAATGCATTAAATCAATTCACATTATTTCTAATGGGAAAAATATGATTCGGTTTTTGAAAAAAAATCGCTTTTGAACATCCTTCCAGAATGAATTAAGTTAGATACCAAGACTTCACTATACTGTATATCAAGATTTACTTGCTTTTTTCATTTATACTTCTCAAATGCATGGTATATCTAACTGTGTACCTAAGTAGGTGGGAACTGGACCAGATTAGATTTACTCTGAACACCTCCCCACGTTGGAAAACTGATTTATCACATGCATAGAATGCAATTCAAGGTCAGGAATTGAATGTCAGGAAAAGCTGGGAACCGCCCCCCCCCCCCCCCACACACACACACACCAGCCTTTGAAGCTGGTAAGGCAAAACTAGTGAGCCCTATACTGTTTAGCTCAATGGATATGTCGCGGCTTGTGGACCTAAGGGTCCCGGGCTTGATTCAGGTCAAGGGCATGTACTTGGGTTGCAGTCTCCTCAGCTGCCTGAGAACTGGTCAGGGAGTGTGCAGGAGGTAACCAATCGATGTGTTCCTCTCACATAGATGTTTCTCTGTCTTTTCCTCTCTCTAAAATCAATGGAAAAATATCCTCTGTGAGGATTTAAAAAAATAATAATTCTTTATTGTTAATATTTCATAGGTCCTCCTTTCCCCCTCATTAACCTCTTCCAGCCTCTCAACACCTTTAATCCCATCTTTGCTGAAGAAGAATAAATTTGAAAGACTGAGGCCTGCTTTTTCTCACCCAGGAACATACAACTTCGGAACTCACCAGTTTCACCCTCTCTGTGCAATCCTGCCCTCTCTCTCCATACTCAGGTTATGACATCCCCTACCACAGTACTTTGCACAAGCAGGTTCTGTCCATGGCAGCTCCTTGCCCCTTACACACTGTTTACTCCCTTTTTACTGGCATTTTTCTTCAGATCCCAGCCAAATTGTTACTTTCTTTGAGCTTTAAAATTCTGCCTCACAATTTATTTTTGGCAGATTACTTATTAGGCAAGTTGGTATTCACATCGATTACTAAAAAATTACCCACATTCTCTTCTTTATTTTTCAATTATAGTTGACATCACCCACATTAAAAAAAATCAAAACATTTATTATATGCTATCAATCTGTAAAACAGTGAGTCTTATAAAGCAAAAACCTAGTACAGTGCTAGCCAGTTTGGCTCCGTGGATAGAGTGTCAGTCCCGGGACTGAAGGGTCCTGGGTTACACTCTGATCAAAGGAATGTACCTTGGTTGCAGGCTCCATCCTGGTCCTGGTCAGGCCTGTGCTGGAGGCAACCAATTGATGTGTCTCTCTCACAACAATGTTTCTCTCTCTGTGTCTCTCCCCCTCCCTTCCATTTTCTCTAAAAACAGCTCCTAGGCAACATATCCACAGAAATCTTTCCCAGCCCCCCCCCCCCCCCGATTCATTCCATTATATTTAGACTTTACTCCCAATGATTCCTTCTCTCATGAGTATTACAAATGCAGGATGTTAGAGTACCAAGGCTTCACTGTGGACCTAAGGCTCCCGGGTTCGATTCATGTCGAGGGCACATACCTTGGTTGCAGGCCCCTTATTTTACTTAAAAGAAACATCTCCAGTGTTGAGGAAAGTTACTGAACAACTGCCATACAATTAAGCCAAAATAATGTAAATTTCTGTTAATTTCTTTACAAGTTCTAAGTGGAGAGTTTTAATTCTAGCACTCATCATTACTATAAATGTCACAAAAGTTTAATTGGATTCAGAAATTATGGCAAACAGAAGCTTTTCACTCATGTATTCTTGAATTTTTGTATGCATGTATTTTTACCTGGCCCTTGCTGATAAGTGGGACTTTACAGTCAGTTTTAGAAGATGGAATACAAGAAAATGCGTGTCAATAAAAATATGTAAGAAAGAAAAAGAAAATGCGTGTCAGTTCACGGTGTTGGCCTTCAAGTCTCAGCGTGCTTCCTCTTTTTTTAGTGACAGTGACCCTTCACTCTGATAACCCATGACTGAGGGGTTGGACCCCTGGGCGGGTAACGGCGGGGCGCCCTGCGGGCCTGCACTGCACTTGACCGGAAGCACCAGGCGATCTTGCTAAGCACCTGGGAGCACCACAGCCTAACAGGGCCCTCCGGTCAGTGCAGTGGTCCCGGTACCGCGACGAAAGCCCTGCTGAACATCTTTTCAAGATACGGAGATAGACGAAGAGTACAGAGATAGGCAAAGTAAAGCTCTACTTGCCAACACCATAACCAATACACATACAGTCTGCCAAACGGAAGCATGTTCCAAAATGTCGGCCGTTTCACACGTGAAACACTAAAGTATCCACTCTGCCGCCAGAGAACCAGCTCCAAAATACCCAGTGAAAGAAAATAAAATAAAAACAGAAGAAAACAAACAAACACACACACAAACAAACAAAATACCCAGTGAGAACCTCCGGCCGCCGGCAGCCCTCACAGCGCTCTGACGGCCATTTCCGCCATGGCCGCCGCCACCCACCCCCAGGAGGC